ACCCTGCTCCTGGCGATCGACTGTCCTGCAAAGTTTAGCTCCAACTCTAATCAAAGACACCTGCCTTTAATTTTTAAGTGATCCTGAATACCCTAATTAGTTGCTTCAGGTGTGTTTGATTAGGGTTGGAGCTGAACTTTGCAGGAGAGTCGATCGCTAGGAGCAGGGTTGGGCACCCCTGGTGTAGGGCAATAGGAAATACGGTTTGTACAGTATAAAAACCATTACGCCTATGGAGAGTCCCCATAAACCATAAAAACAAACCTGTGTCTGTGTATGTGTGTGTGTGTGTGTGTGTGTGTGTGTGTGTGTTTTCACCTAATACAGCTGAGTAAGTGACTATACATCATTTTCTCCTGTTGCTGTTGTAACCCATTTATCTCTATTTTGTCCTGTTTTGAAAAGTTGTGGAAATGCAAAAGTGGATATGTTTACAGTTGAAGCAAAGAGGAATGCAAAAATTATTATGGTCTCCCATATACTGTATCTTGTTAATGCAGATGTTTACCATACTTAGCTGTTCTATGTGCAATATGAATCTGACACTTTACAAACAGACTATGTTGTCTGTATATTTTACCATAACCCCCTCACATTTATGACATGCTTAGAACCTTTAGCAAGGTAAGAAATGCGGCCTCCCACTAAAATGCAGCTGATCCTATTAAGCAGTGTTATGTTGGGAAAAAATAGTGCTTTATATCCTAATATTTGCTCTGTTACCTATTATTTCATGTTCAACTGTTACTTGTTCTTGTTGGGCCATAGGACATTCACAGAGTCTTCCCTAAGCCACTCTTGCATTCTCATGTAATTAGTGTCATCGTCGTGTTGGAAGGTGAACCTTTGACCAAATCTGAGGTCCTGAGTGCTCTGGGTTAGGGTTTTTTTAAATGATCTCATTAGGATGGTGTTCTGCAGAAGATGAGTGATGCCTGGTTTTCATAGGTATGACACTTAAGGCCAATTTACACTGCACAGACAAATGCCAACAAACACGTTTGTTGGGTTTTGTTGAATCACTGTGTTACCCTGTCGGCATCTGTTGCCGTTGGTTGGAGTTTGTTTTCACCCGACTGAACATGTTCAGTCAGTATTTGTTGGTGTCTGTTGGGGCAGTGTGAACATGGCAGCTATTTTTCATAAAATTCTAAATGCAACGTCCAACTTGTTTGTTGCCGTCTGTCTGTGCGGTGTGAATGAGGTTCAATATAGCAAAGAATCTAGTTTCTCACAGACTTAAGAGTCTTTTGCAAATTCCAAACAGGACTCCATGGGTCTTCCACTGAGAAAAGGCTTCCAACTGGTGATAGCTGTCCATAAGCAAGTTTCTTCCTTGTCCACACTTGATTTCTGAAGCTCTGAGAGTGACCATCAGGTTCTTGCTCTCCTCTCTCACCAAGGTCCTTCTCCCTGATTGCTCAGTTCTAGGAAGAGTCTTGATTGTTTCAGACTTATTCCATTTAAGAATTATAGAGATTAATGTACTTTTGAGATATTTCAATGCAGTCCTGTATCTGAGCTTCATAGGCAGATGACTAACTACATGGTTTTTGCTCTGATACGCATTCTTCTTCATGTGATGTTTTACTGTGCTTTTTAAACCAACAAAGAAGGTACATTTCTGCTACCTATTGGACTGGAGTGTGCTCTTAATGATGGGTTTAGATGAAATATTTCTCATATGCAACATAGTTTAGAATTATATGTTTGACTGTTTCTGGATGACCACATTTATCACAGTAAGCAGTCTCATGTTTCCCTATAATGTGCAGACTCTGATTTAATGTCAAAAGTCCATGGAAATGATAGCATAATTTTTTTCTGTATTCTCTCTGCACCAACATGAGTAAACTAAATAGTAAATTTGCTTGTTTTGTGGAAACATTACAAGCACCAATCTTGCACTGCATTGCGTTGTGTTTTAGAGTTAAGAGAAATGTCTGTCAAATTAATGGATAATGTCCTGGCAGAAAATTACCAGTACATTGTCTGTTTGTTTAATGAAACTGGACAACAGAGTAACATGCAGACCAATACTTCCATAATTTAAGTATAGCACTAATATAAGTCAATATTTCCAGACATACAGTACAGTATCTCCCTCTTCTAAAACCATTCGGTGGTAGAATTCCTTTATGCTAATCTTTTGGTAATCATTCTTTCCATTATCTTTCTTATGTGTGATGTCAGTGTTATTTGGCCTAAACAGTAGTTCAATGGATCTGATGGGTCAGTCACAAATACTGTGTCGAATGAACACACACGAAGATGAAGGGTAATAGTCTTTAATAAAACCACATAAGGTAATCCAAACAAGGAGGCCTGGAAACACACATATACTGTACATCGATGAGACTGGACAAACTATAACTGAGCAGACAGGAACTTAAATAGGCAAATGAGGATAATTAATGAGACACAGGTAAACTAACTAACGTAATCAAAGGGGAGACAGAAACTAGGTCAGAGAACAAAACAAGCAGGCAAACAAACCCTGCATTCCATTTGGAAGAGCTCATCCCTTCAAAGGGTTTACCCTCCGGAGTGAGAGCTTTGAAGGGTTGAAGGGTTTAGGGGACCAAACAACTGTTTCTTGAAGTGCCCTTCTGCACCATTATCCCATGCCCCGCGAGGAGGTGCCGTCATCATGGAAAGAATCAGCGCAAATGATCATGGGGGCCCGAAAGTGTCCATCAGTTGTACCCTTCGAAATCCTACATTCCGAAGGGCCCTTTGAAGTGGCCAGTTTTGAGCACTTCGGTTTGGAACGACCCTTCAATATTGCGGCCATGATTGTTTTCACTCCGAAGTGCCCATCGGAGGGTGATATATCCCGTTTGGAATGCACCAATAGTCCAAACAGGGTGATGGTGTGA